GTTGCATCTGGGCAGCTTATGTTGTCTGAAGCTTACTGTTTTGTATGCTGATTTTGGTTCTCCTGGGAGGTACTTGTGCATCAACCAATGTCAGGAGCTATCTAGGTTTGTCTCTTGTGTCCTTAGGTAGTTGGCTATTCTGAAGCTCTCTATGGACCACCTCCAGTTGTCAGCTATTTTGCTTCCCACTTATGGTGGCCTGAACTTACTCTAGAGTCTTCTGAAGAGTCTTTAGGGTGCAGGCTGGCTACTGTAGCTCAGAATATTGCTGCGCTTACTTAGAGGTTTCCCTGTCAGGCACTCACTGTGGGGAAGTAAGTCTCTGCTTCAGGGCCAACTCCTCAGTCTCTACTCTAGCCTCCAATTCTAGTTCCCTGTACTGTGGCCTGCTGCAGGTTCTGATCTAATTCAGCCTGTTGCTTTTTCTGTTTGGGCAGGTTCAGAGGCATTGGCTCAGTGGGTTAGATTTAAAATAAATTCTGGTGAGCACTTTGCCTGTCCAGCCTCTAGAAGGAGTTTTCAGCTTTTCCTCCTTTTCCCAAACAATAGTCTCTGAGAGTCTTATTCTTGTATTGTCATCCTGTGAGGTGTTCTCCCTTCTCCCTCAAGACTGTTCCCTACAGGGGATATCTGGGCCTTCAGTAAGCTGAATCTTTCCCTCTCTTGTTGAGGATGGTGTTCCTAGCTTGCAGGAGAGATAGATTTGCTCCACCCCTCCTTTCCCATATCTAGTTGGCTGATCTCACAGGGCACTCAGTTCAAACTCTCCACAATGCAGACATAAATCCCAGCTTTTGCTAGTCTGTCTCCCCAGTGCAAGCCAGGAAGGTGGATCTCCTTCCCTTTCAGCAATCAAAAATTCAAAAATTTTCAAAGCATCACACAGGCAGAGAACCCACCCTGTGAGGTCCTGGTGCCCTCACTCCTCAGAACCAAGCAGGAAAGGTCACAAAGTCAGCCTAATGTTGGTTCCCTGCACAGCTGATCTTAGTAAAACTGGGGCAGCTCCTTGCACACTATCCTGGTTCCCCTCAGAGAGGGTCAAAAATCCCTGAATTACCACTGTCTGCTCTGGTGGCTTGAGTTTGATCCACCCCACCAGCAACTCTGGTGCCTGGAGACTCACTCTGCCCCACTGGTGGCTCAGGTCCCTCTCTGATGGTAGTAGGGCTCTTTTCCCCTTCTCCACACCACACAGTTCAAATGCTTTCTGGGGTTTTACACAATTCCTTACAGGAAAGCAGAGTTTCCTTGTATGTTGCTGCTCAGTGCAGCCCTCTGGACCCTTTCTATTCGGTAGTCACACACTGTGGGACAGCTTGTCCCAAGGTGAGCAACTGGGGTGAAAGACTCCAGTCCGGTCTGCTGTCATTAGACACATTGTTTCACTGGGAATGTGCAGTCCCCTCCATGCTGGCACAGTGTTCCCCTAGCTGCCTCTGCCTGCCTTGCACAGGCTTTCTTTCCCTTCTCCTCCACTCAGGGTTTGAGATCCTATCTTTTGGATGCCAGTCCACACTCCCAAGTGGAGGGAGCTTTGCAGCCTCTAGCCCTCTATCCTCAGAGCTGAGCACAGGTTTCAGGGGAGACTCCCCCTTTCCATGCCCCCCTCTTACCAGACTTTACGATGTTTCTTCAGTGCTCCCTACTCAAAATATGTCCACTCAGGTATATTTCTCTTGTTTTTCCAAGCTGGTTATGCAGTATTTTAGTGGTAAATTGAGTCCACGGCTGGGAGCAAGGGTGCTCTGCTTCTTGTCAGAGTTCTGCCATCTTCCCAATCCTCTTTTGATTGCATTTAAATGTTAATAGGACAGAGCCAATAAAAAGGACATGTTGAAGATGTAAGACATGTTGGGAGCAAAGGACTGGACAGTATTGCTTTTAAGATGTTACAGAGGGAATTCAAACATGGGCTAAGGAGTTTCCCAAAAGATCTTTTTCTATCTTGAGATTTTAAAAATGCAATGCACTATCTAGTATCAAGGACCAGAGCACTTTAGTTTATCTGGGGAAAAAATTAAAATTTTTTTCTCCAAGTCAAGAATTTATCAAAGGATTCTTTTGCTCTAGGAGTTAAGTGTTCTTACCCGCCTAAATCTTGCTTCACAAAATCCCCAGGCTCTTGTCGTCTTGATTCCCCTTGACCAGTTGTTTCAGGGAGAATATTAATCAGGAAAAGAAGCCCAAGGCCAGTCATGTAGAAGTGACTCAATTGTGTGATTATCATCTTCTTAGGCACCAACTTGGAGAGTCCTGTGAGATCCATGTTGAAAGAAAGAGGAAGGGGAAAGAAGTAGACAAAGGGAAGGAGAAAGATGAAATTTCAAAAAATATTTTATTTAACTCTGAGTCATTTAACTTCCTAGTATCTAAATTAACTTCCTAGTCATTTAACTTCCTAGTATCTAGTTACTAAATGCTTAATGGGAAAATTCCCTTTTTCCAGTTTATCAATGTCACTAAAATTCACTCCCAACCTACTCCTCTTTAAATATACTAGAGCCCATCCAAATAAAGGTAATGTAAAGAGCTCTAAATCAGTAATTACTAGTCTTAGGTTTCAGTTCCATTTCTTTCCCTGTCTCCCTATGATTAGGGACATCTCTCAGCTTTAGTTATCTCTTATAATCCAAAAATTAAATAGTCTTTTATGTCTTCATTTTATTTTCCACAAATTCTTTCTGATCTTTACTACCACAAATGCCTTTGCCATAGTTAATGGTAGTATTGTAGAAAATACCAGAATATTAAAACCTGGAATCTCTTCATAGCATATTTATGATTTATTCTCATCTTGATACAGTTAATCAATTTTTCTGCAAACCCTGTGTGGGTGGCTTGTGCCTCCTCATTCCTCGGGTTATATAATCTGCATATTCTTAATTTAATACACCATCTACAGGTTCCCTAACACAATCTGGTATAGGTATAGAAAACTATGATACTGGAGAAGAGGGACTTTTTACATAAGGAAATATCCACATTATATATAGGGATAAGTAGTCATAGTATTAGGTTGTATCATCTAAAATTATGGACCAATATGCAACAATTTTGTTTCACAACACAGTAATTTCTTATGGTTAATTTAATATATGTGCTCTGGCATTCATGATTCAAGATCTGTACAGGAGATGATGGTCATTTTACAGAAATGAACAGAAACAGAACAGTTCATGGCATATGAGTAAGAAAATATTGTGCATGAGCAGACAACTCTACGGCATGAGAAATATTGATAGTATAGGCAGAAACCTCAAACATACACAGTGCTTTGGAAGATCTTAATGTTTGATCACATGACAAAGATCAATGCTTAGATGATCCTGATACATGATTGACAATTACTTTACAGGAACAAAGAGACTTGGTACAGGATATATAAGTCCAAATTACAGAAATGATCCACATAATATAAGACAAACATGGTGGACGCTCAGAAAACATGAGTGCATAAGCAATGATCCTAGGTATAAGAGAGGATGGCCATGCTACATGAGGAAAGAGGCTCATAGTGTGTGTTCAACTATGCTGTTCTAGTATGGGTTATGTTCAAATTACCATGATCAATAAGCAACAAACCTTCACACTAAGAATAGGTATCAATGAACAGAGGCAAATATCCATGATGTGGAAGGAGAAACTGATATATAGCATGATGCATAAAAAGACAAGAATTTTATATGAACTTAACGACTAAGGTACATGTTCAAATAATCATTCATGAGAAGCCTGCTATCATATATAGAAGTTGGACATGATATGTGCCCTCCAACCACCATGACACTTTGCTAGCAAATATCATTATTATAATGCATATGGAAACATTTATGGTAAAACAACTTAACCATGCTAAATGTCAGAAAACCATAGCACGTGAGCATAGTAGTCACTGAACAGGAGAAGAGGGGCTTGATACTCACTCTATTAAGACATCATACATGATCAAAAGCATGCCACCTGGACTATTGTACAATAATATGACTATATTTAACACTACTAAAATGTACATTTAAATGTTTAAGATTAATTATTTTTTAATCATGATTAAATTTTTAAATTAAATTTATAAGGATGATATTGGTTAATAAAACTGTACATGCCACTGGAACAGGTAGCCTTCAGAAGTTAGCAAATGTCTACAAAGCAAGCCCCAACCCTGGTATATATACAGAGAAATGTAGCACATTAGCAGATATTATCATTAAATAAACATACATATGCCCATGGTACATGATCAGATGACCATCAAACAAGTGCAAATAAGAACTCTAGAGGTGAGCAGATACCTTAAATTCTCATGACAAACTTGGTGAATTTTCAATTTACTGTAGTGCACACACTGAAAATGATGACACTTGAACAAAAAGCCTTCAAACATAATAAAGTATACATGTAGCTTAAGACAACTATGGTATATGCTTAAATAACCATGATTCACATGAAGAGGTATTTGGTATATTAGTCCTAAACTATGATGTATGCACATACAGTGTGTGTATCATGGCAACCTTGATATAGGTTTAAGCAACATAGTTTAGGAGCAGATGGCCATGCTAAGGGAGCAGACTGCCATGATGCAGGAACAGAGGGTCATAGTCCAAGAGAAGGCAGAAATACTAAAAAAGAGTTTGAGTGGGGGGCAAAAATATTCTTTATTGGTCATTTGCTATTATACTTAGGGTAACAAACTGGTGTAAATAGTTATATACGAAAGCAGGGGCCACCCAATACGTTAGCTCACATTATAAATGGAATACAGGCTGTTACAGCAAAGGTTCTCTTGAGCATTGTATGCCTTTATCATCGTGTGCTTTGTGATGTCTCAATTTCTCCACTAGTGTTTTTATTTTATTTATTTATTTATTGAAAATATGTTGTATTGTTTCTTTATTATTTTACTGATTTTTAGAGAGAGAGGAAGGGAGAGAGACACTGATTTGAGAACAAGACAATGATTGGCTGCTTCCAGCATGCCCCTTACTGGGGATCCAGCCAGCAACCCTGGCACGTTCCTTAACCAGGAATCAAATTGGCAACCTTTCAGTGCATGGAACAACACCCAACCAACTGGGCCAAACCAGCAAGGGCTATTTTTTTTTTTTTAACACATGAATTAGACAATTTTTATTATTAATTTATAAAAATATATGTTACATACCATTGAACCAAAACTGAGATTCTTTTTATTAAAATGTATACTCATTACTTTTTTTTTCAATAACACTCCCTTTTTACTGTGGCTTCATTTCTAAACATTCTTATTTTAAAACCAAACTTAAACCTAATCCTAAATGCAACTTTAATCTTAACCACAATTTAAACCTAACCCTAATACTATCTTCAACCTTAAACCTAACTTTAATTCTAACACTAACTTTAAATATAACCTCAAACCAAATGTTAAGCCTAACCTAATCCTAATGTCATCCTTTTTTAACCTTTAAAAAATTTAATTATTTTTAATTACATTTTACATTCAATCTTATTTTGTATTAGATTCAGGTGTACAGCATAGAGGTTATACTACCATTTACTTTACAAACTGACACTCCCCCATTTCCAGTACCACCTATCACCATGCATAGTTATTACAATATTATTGACTATATTCCATATGCTGTACTTTACATCCTCATGACTATTTTGTAACTTACAATTTGTACCTCTCAATCCCTTCACTTTTTTCACCAAGTACCCCAAACTTCTCCCCACTGGTAACCATCAGTCTATTCCCTGTATCTATGAGTCTGTTTCTGTTTTGATGTTCGTTTATATTGTTCATAATCCACATGTATGTAAAATCATATGGTATTTGTCTTTCTCTGACTGACTGGTTTCACTTAGCATAGTATCCATGATGTAGCAAATAGTAAGATTTCATTCTTTTTACCGCTAAGAAGTATTCCATTATAAATATATACCATCACATTTTTATCTACTCATCTATTGATGGACATTTAGGTTGCTTCCATGGCATGGCTATTGTAAATAATGCTGCAATGAACATAAGGGTGCATATATTATTTCAAATTAGTGTTTTGAGTTTTTTTCAGATAACTTTTCATAAGTGGAATTGCTTGCATGTAAGGCCATTACATTTTTTTAATTTTTTGAATAAACTTCATAATGTTTTCCATAGTGGTTATGCAAATCTGCATTACCACCAACAGTGTACAAGGCTTCCATTTTTCTCCAAATCCTTTCCAACACTTGTTGTTTGTTGATTTGTTGATAGCCATTCTGACAGGTGTGAGGTGAAATCTCATTGCTGTTTTAAGTTGAGTCTCTCTGATGATTAGTGATATTGAGCATCCATTCATGTCTATTGGCAATCTGTATGTCCTCTTAGGAGAAGTGTCTATTCAGGCCCTTTGCCCATTATTTAATTGGATTGTTGTTTTCTTGGTGTTGAATAGTATGTTTTCATTAGAAATTTTGGATATTAACCCCTTATCAGATATATCATTGGAGAACATGTTCTCCCACTTAGCAGGTTGTCTTTTCACTTTGTTGATGGTTTCCTTTGCTGTGCAAAACCTTTTTAGTTTGATGTCCCATTTGTTTATTTTTTCTTTTATTTCCCTTGCCTTAGGAAGTGTATCAGAAAAAAATATTACTAAAAGAAAGGTCAGAGATTTTATTGCCTATTTTTCCTTCTAGGTGTTTTATGGTTTTGAGTCTTACATGTAAGTCTTTATTCCATGTTGAGTTTATTCTTATATATAGTATAAGAAAGTGGTCTAGTTTTTTGTTCTGTTTTTGTTTGTTTGTTTGTTTGTTTGTTTGTTTGTTTTGGCCTGTACCTGTTCAGTTTTTCATTACAATTTATTGAATAGTCGGTCTTTACCACATTGTATGTTCTTGCATCTTTTAGCAAATATTAATTGATCATAAAGGGGTGGGTTTATTTCTGGGCTCTCTATTCTCTTCCACTGATCTATAAGTTTGTTTTTATGCCAGTACCACAATGTTTGGTTGTGATAGTCTTATAGTACAATTTTATATCAGATAGTGTGATTCCTCCAACTTTGTTCTTCTTTCTCAAGATTGCTGTGGCTATTAAAATTTTTATGTGGTTTAATATAAATTTTTGGATTATTTGTTCTTGTTCTGTGTAATATGCCGTTGTTATCTTGATAGGAATTGCATTGCAAGAAATTGCATTGAATCCATAGATTGTATTAGATAGTATGGACATTTTAACAATGTCAGTTCTCTTATTCATGAGCATGATATATGCTTCCATTTAT